GGATGATAGAACAGATCCAGACTGGAAGTCTTTAGCCTAGTCACCCGCCTAATCACCTACATACATAATATAAATAATGAGCTGGAGCCTAGTGAATAACAATAGAGTAAAGGTTTTATGAATGATGTCCATAACAGATTCATAAATCAGAATTCATATCAGAAACAAATTCATATACTTATTCAGATTTGTAAACAATCATGCGTGGTACATTCATTAGCTCTAACAGATTAGATTGGTCATAAAGACTCATATTCATATCAGATAGATAATTGTGCACAAGCGTAACAAATAACCATATAGGTTTTACAGATAGTTCCATGATTGGAACCCATAGAGATCCCTGGTACTAGGTAACAGATATCAGATAACAGATTCACATGATACTAAGGATGCTATAATACATTTCAGAAATTGGACAATCATTCATATATACAGAAAATATCATTTTAGAAAACAAAGCTTATATACCTTAGTTGAACATGTCTTTACAAGGTTGTTACTCGTATATAGCTTCAAAAGCAGAACAGATGAATCAGACAGATCAGACGGACAACGACGCGTGACCTAAACAAATACGTGATAGATACTAACTGAAACACACATTCCGTAATTTGCTAAATGTAATTCCTTTCAGTGTGCTTCTAATTCTTATCCTCATTATTATAGCTTAAACACTGGCTTAAGAATGCCTAGGATGCAATGAAGATGCAATTATGTACTTTGAAACACTTTGCAAAATTTCAGAAAATATGATAGTTTGCTCGAGCGAAGTTTTGGTCACTCAAGCAGATCCCTTGGTCTACAAAAGTACTGGATGCTCTTATTTTATTCTTGAGCCAATTTTTTAGTAGCTCAAGCCAAGGTTCAAAACAAAAGATGGTCGCTCGAGCTAACCATCAAACTCTACAAAAGTACTCAGAGCTTGCAAAGTATGCTCGAGCGAAGAAACCATCACTCGAGCGAACCCTGTGAATTTTGGAATTTCCAAATTTGCATTCAAGGTTCAAAACACAAGTTTAACACATCTAAACCCATTCTTTTGGGCCAAAACTTTAGAAAACACTTGAAAATTTGTAAAAAAAACATGAAATGAAGTTCAATTTACAAAATCAAAGCCCAAAAGCAAGTGAATTCTTCAAAACCAAACCTTTGCCTTAATGTATAGCAAATGCATGCATTGCTTTGAGCTCAAACTCTTTAAATCATGAACAATTGGGATGAAATAGTAGGAAACAAGATGAATTGTCAAAAAAAAGCTAGGATTATTACATGCATGCAAGAATTCTTTGGAAAACAACCTCAAATGCCATGAAATATACGTGCACGTATGTATTGAGCTTTAATTCTTCAATCTTTGCTTAATTATTGTATTTAACGACCTACCTCTCTTGAATTCATATTCTTAATGACTCATACACCTAGTTCATGGGTTGAATTCTTACCTTTACTCCTCAATTGGGTTCTAGATTGTTTATTCTTTGAGCTTCCAAGCTAATTCCTTCAATTTCTTCCCAATTCTCTACAATTCTCCTTTTCTTCTTAGCTTGAACTCAATGTTTTTTCCTCATCTCTCTCTCTTAACATTTTCTTGCTCAAGGAATGAAGATGGGATGTAAATAAGAAGGTTCTTGAATCACACTAGCCTTATATAGGCTTAATTAGTGGTCTATAATTGATCTTGATTAGCCGTAGCTTAGTTTTAGTTAATTTATTCTAATTATTTGATTCTGAATCAAATCCTAATTAAACTGATCATAAAATTTTAAAAATTCCAAATAACACATAAACCTAAGCAATTTCATGTTCGGATGCCGATACGGCTCTCAATTTTCATATCGTAACAGAATTCTAGACAAATATTCCTACAATAGACAGATAGGAACACAAAGATCACATAAAATGCATAATTAGCTCACAATTTCATCTTAAATACTTATTAGGCCTTCTTAATTAAAGATTAGTAGTTAATCATGGAGTGAGGTTGTCACATTAACTGATAGAGAGAAAGAGATAAGGAGAGAGAGAGAGAGAGAGAGAGAAGAAATAAAATGGGTTTGTGAAATCAACTGATAGAGAGAGAAAGAGATAAGTAAGAGAGAGACAAATAAAAAGAAAAAAAGAATGGATTTGAACAGATCAGTCTCTATTTCCTCTTTATGTATATCATAATTTAAACAAATTGAAATAAAAAATTAAACAGGAAAAAAAAATAGGCTTGTGAAAATCAACAGATAAGGAAAATAGGTTTTGTGAAATTCAATAAGGTTAAAATTTTGAACAGATAAGAGAAAAAATTGAACAGATAGTCAAAAAATTTGAACAGATAGAAATTTTTTTGAACAGATATTTAAAATTTTTGAATAGATTGAAGATATAGTCAACGAAAGTCAACAAATAAAAAAAATTCAACGGATAAATTATGGGGTAAAATTAGAAACAAAATCTCATTCAAAACAAACAAAAGGACTTTTCACTAAACTATTTCACAAATGGTGGACCTCTTATCAACAAAACATATTCACTGGATCTAATGCCTTATATCCTCCTTAACTTGGAATTTTTAACAATTAACCCTAAAAGTTATTATGTGTGTGTACTAAGTAATAGTGTGTATTGAGAGTATTAGTGATCTGTAAATAGAATTACCCAATATTTTTTCATCAAATTTAACTAATAATTTGATTTGGTGAAAAAATTGCATGTTTCAATCTTGACTGAAAAATTTCTTCAAATCTTTTTTAAAATTCAAAACTTATTCCTAGAAGCTTATTTCATCAAATTTGGTAAAATTAGTTTTTGCCTTGATTTGATGAAAACTTAATTTGATACATGTTTGAGACTTTTAATAAATTTTTCATCAAATTTAAATTTGACGAAGAATTGGAGATGTGTGAAAATATCAAAAATACTGAGCACATAGTACTATCTATGTGCACTCGTATTGGACATTTGTTTAGAATTATATATATATATATATTATAATAGAGAAAATAAATAGAACTTTTTGGATTTCTTGCCCTAGGGCTATGTTTGTTTTAATAGAAAATTGTTCCATGAAAATCTATCATTGTGAAAGAAAGTTTTTTTAACGGTGCATTTGTCTTGATACACTATTACGCCACTTGGAGAAAATTTTCTGAGTTTTTTATTTTTTATTTTATTTTAATCTTAAGATAATGAAGACTTTGTTACTAGGTTAGTCCTGAAAATTTTTGATTTCCAAGAAAATATTTATCTGAAAATATTTTTACAATTATTGTGAGAACTCTGTGGTGTGGGTAGTTGTTCAATTTGAATGATCAGACTTGCCATGCTTTTGGCCCTTTTATACTAGGGATTGTTATGACACCATTGAAGGCATAGTAATTGTTTGGTAAAAATGTGGTGTAAAGTTCAGACATTGCACAGTATTTACATAGAGCTATTCATCATCCAAAATCTTTTATGAGCTTTACATTTTTATTTAGGGTTAGTTTGGCATGTTTGAAAAAAGTTAAAAAGTCAAAAAGTTACTATCCTATTTAAGTCACATCATCTTATTTAAGTCACATCATTTCTCTAACACATCACTTCAAACCCAACCCAAACCCAACTCATGTTTCATAAAAAGTCAAAAAGTACACTTATTTAGATCATTCCAAACAACCCCTTAATTTGAAATTTTACCTCCATTTTGGGAAGCTGTATATACTTTTCTTCCTATGTGTTTGTTTCCAGAAATGAATTTGTAGTGGAATTCCATAGTCACCACCCAGTTAAGATATATGGGTTAGGTGAGAGAGAGGGACCGTTGATACCGATTTCTGCCTATATATTAATGTGTCCATTTCCATCATCACTCTCTTCACAAGCAAGACAGAGAGAGAAAAGCAAGAGAGAGGGCAAAATGTGAAGCTCTGCCAAGTAAGGTGACTTAACAATAGTCGGTAAAAATGTCATTTAAAATATTTATATTATTTAATATAACCTTTTTTTTTAAAAAAAATAATAATTATTTTTTTATTATTTTAATAAAAAAGGTCAAAAACTGAAGTTATTTAAATCATTCCAAACAATCATTTAACTTGGTTAAAAAAAATTATGTTTCAGATGATAATTTTTTTTTAATTCATTTGATGGTTGTGAAATAAAAATTACAATGATTATGGAGTAGATGTGATATTTTTTCTTATTAACTATTTTAATCTATTTTATATTTAGTGACTATTTTAGCCAAATAATCTCTAGCCAAACAAGGCTAAAATATTGTTATTTTTTTTAAGGGTAAATTACAAATACAAGCTCAAGATTTGCTTAAAATACGAATTATCCCTTCTGGTTTGAAAAATTACAAATACCTCATTGTCAGAATTTTTTATTTAACAGAATTAATTAAAAAAGTAAAATTTCTAACTGCTCACCTATACAATAATAAAATTATCTGAATTATTAATTGAAATAAAATTTTAACATTATTAAAAACTGTTAATTAACTTAATGATTTATTAATAAAAGGACCTATTTGTTATGAAATTAAAAACCTTAGGGGGCATAATGTAATTTTAAGAACCATAAGAGATAATTTGTAATTTAAGTAAATCTCAGGAGTGTGTTTGTAATTTATCCTTTTTTTTATAAATAAAAAAATAAACAAGAAATTAAAGTAATGATTCATGTGCAATGTTACCTAAGATACACAAGGACCACAGAGCATTCCTATAAGCAAGTTTTAGTCTATATATTCTCTAATTCTTTTAGATAATCTTTGTAGAAACAAAACTTCAAAACCCAATTAAGTAGAAGAAAAGATTAGAGGAGTGGAGGTAACCAAAACCATGGAGAAGGAGATTAAGGTTGAGATCATTGCTACATAAACCATCAAGCCATCTTCTCCCACTTCTCATCACCTCAGAAACTACAAGCCCTCACTTAGAGATCAGTACTGTACACTTCATTGCACACCAGTGGCTTTCTACTACTCCACTCCCGCTAGTATCGGTGCTGGTGAATCTGAAGAGATGGTGGGTCTAATATCGGAACGCTTGAAGGTTTCCCTCTCTGAAACCCTCACTCACTTCTACCTACTTGCGGGAAGATTGAGAGACAACCTCTTAGTTGATCGCAACGATGATGGTGTTGATTTTGTTGAAGCTCGAGTCATCAACAACTTCCATCTTTCAAACTTTCTTGATCGACCCAAACTTAAAGTCATCGACCATTTGGCTCCACCCGAACCAACAGATTACTACAAGACCCCTCTTTTACTCGTTCAAGTTAACCTTTTTCCATGCAACAGAGTTGTGGTTACTGTGAAAATGTCCCACAAAATTGCTGATGGATTCTCCGTTGGCATATTTATGAAGGGTTGGTCAGACAACGCTCTTGGATCTCCTGACGCCATAGTCCCAGATTTTAATGCTACCTCCTCTTGCTTCCCTCCAAGAGACGACATCCCTATAATTTCTCTTACCTTCAAGAACATAACCCAAAAGGTTGTTAAAAAGAGGTTTGTCATCGATGCCTTAAAAATCACTTCCCTCAAGGCCAAAACAGAAAGTGAGAGCTTGTAAAAACCCACACGCGTCGAGGTTATTACAGCACTTGTTTGGAAATGCGCGGTGGTTGCATCAAGGTCAAGATTTGGGAGGTCTCCAAGGCCTTATGCATTGGTGGGAGGCGCGAGTATGCGGTCAAGGTTTGTGCCACCCATGCCAAAATACTCATTTGGGAATATAGTGGGAATGTTGTGGGCAATGCTTGACAACGATGATCACGACTACGAGAGTCAAGCAACACACCTGGCCAACTTGGTGTGTCAGTTGAGGAAAGGGTCTCAAGAGTCAAACGATGACAATAAAACAACAGAGATTGCATCTTTGAGGCAGGTTAATAGAGATGATATGGAGATGTATGCGCATAGCAGTTGGTGTAGGTTTCTTATGTATGAAACTGATTTTGGATGGGGGAAGCTGACATGGGTGAGTCCAACTGATGAGGGTGCCCCAGTTGGAATTGCACTAGTGGATGCAAGAGATGGTGAAGGAGTTGAGATTTGGGTGAATCTATTTGAAGAGGACATGGCTTTATTTGAAGCTGATCAAGAGTTGTTGGCTTATGCCTCTCCCAACCCCAGTGCTCTATTAAACAACTAGTCTATTTTATTACTTTCTATATATTTTCTAATTTATATTTAATGTCGTATTAATTGCCTTTTTATATTATCTCTATTGTACTATTTTATGTGTTAGTATTATAATCATACATAAGATAGTACTATTGTAATAACCCCAACCCATGATTAACATTAATCCGTACTTAATTATGCCTAACAGTAATTTAGGAGGGATTTGAAATTAATTTGCATGTGTATTGCATTATTTTTGTGTCTCTATCTGTTCGGTGTAGAAAGATCTGTTCTAGCTTGAACTTCGATTTGCGAATTGAAAGCCCTATCGGCATCCGAATCAGAAACTGACTGGATTTATGTGTTAATTAAGATTTATAGAAATTTGTAGTAGGCTTAATTAAAATTCGGTTCGGAGCGATTAAATTTGATTAAAATAATGCCATTTAATTAGTTATAACAAACTACTACCTATAAGGCCATTTTGTCACTCCACTCACCTCCTTTTCTTGATTTCAAAGTCCTTTGAGCCTATTCTAAGGGAAAAATGTGAGAGAAAGGAAGAGTAGAGGGAGGTTGAGCTCAAATGAAGAATTGACTAGGGGATTGAAGCCAATTTGAAGCTTTGGGTTAGGACCACACTTGAAATCAACCTTAGGTAAGAACTAAACTCTTAAATTTTGTATTTGAGACACTAAGTAAATGAACTCAAGAAGGTTAGATGGTCAATTAAGCTAAGATTGGAGAATTAAAGCTCAATGCATACATACATGTGTGATTCATGGCATTTGAGGTTGTTTTTCTAAGGAATTCTTGCATGCATGTCTTAACCCAAGCTTTGTTTTAGAAATTCTTCAGGTTCTATGTCATATTGTCATAGTTAATCATGTTTTTGAGTTGAACATTGCATTTGGTCATGTTTTGGGGAACTTTGGTTCAGAGAATTGCATTCAAGTCATGTTTATGAATTATTCTTGAGTTTAAAGTAGAATTTTGGTATAATTGGCAAGCCTTGGGGCCATGATTTCTAGTTATAATTCTTTAAACATGTTGTATTATGAGTTTTCATGTATTTCCTCAAGTTTTGACCCAGAAAAATGAGTTTTGGATGCTTCAAAAGTTGAGTTTGAGCTTGGTGATCGAATCTAGAATTTCCAGAAATTTGATCCACGCTCGAGCGGGGAATTTCACGCTTGAGCGTGCACTTTGAGTACATGCACTTCCGCTCGAGCGACGATGGTTACGCTCAAGCGTGAAATGCATACACCCAGAAGTTCTTGTGTTTTGCAGTCCACTCGAGCGAGGGAATCTACGCTTGAGCGAAGGTCTGAGTCTCACGCTCGAGCGTAGGTCGAGCGTCCGTCGAGCGTGAAAAACGTGCAACCAGTACTTTTCAAGAGTTTACAGTCAGCTCGAGCAGGGAAATTCACGCTCGAGCGGAGATTCATTGTTTGCATGTCCGCTCGAGCGAGGAATGCCACGCTCGAGCATGGACCTTATTTTCAGCAAGTTTTAAGAAATGTTTTCCAATGTATTCTTGCATCCTCATTCCATCCTAGGCATTCCTAGGCCATGTTTAAGACTCCATAATGAGGATTAAAGGTTAGAAACACACTAAGAGCAAATGCCATAAGTTATGTACAATTCGAATGTGTGTTTCAAGTGTGTATCTGTTATGTGCCATGTAGGTCACGTGCCGCGTACCGTTTGACCAATCTGCTCCGTCTGGCTGTCTCAAGGCCAACTGTGAGTAATGACATAGTAAAGCTATGTTCAACCTTATTTATTTTCTATATGATGAAATAAGAATTGTTTCTGAAATGTTATGTTCTGTACAATGAATGATTATCCAATTTCTGATATGTATTCGTGACATCCTTAGTATCATGTGATATGTGTTGGCTATTACCCGGTATCAGAGGTTCCATCATGGAACTTAATCTGTCTGCACTTCGTTACCCGTACCGGAGGCTCCATCATGGGGCTCAGCGTGTTTATTCTCTGTTACCCGGATCCGGAGGTTCCTTTATGGAACTGGTTATTCGTAACTCTCACGTGTCTGCATCTGTTCTGTATCTGCTCTGTTAGTGCTTATGGATGTATCACGTATACTTACGCATGACTTGTGATCTCTGTATATGATCTGGACAAATTATGAATTTGATACGAAACTGAATTGTGAATTCTGAATCTGTGCGGACTCATTCATTGAAACCCCTTTACTCTGTTATTGTTCATTGAGCTTTCGCTCACAGTTTATATTATGTATGTAGGTGAGCCGGCGCGTGATCAGGGCCAGAGTTGACGACCTTCATTTCTGTTTTTGTCAGCCAACCATTGTGCCTCCCGAGGAGGTTCCGATTGAAGTCTAGTTACATGGCTGTTTTTGTACTTATGTCAGTCTCTGTCTGTTTTGTACAATTAGGTCTTGGATATTACACTTTTGTAAATGTTTTTTAATTATGATATCCTATGACTGACACGCTCATGTATATACAAGTTTTGAAATATTCTGTCCTATGTTTATCGACACAGCTCATTGGACTATTTATGTTTTGTACATTTGCTTCCGCAGCCCCTTATCATGTACTTATCTGTTAAGAGGCCTTTGGTAATCCACAGATTACTGGCCGGTTACGATGCTAAACCTACATGGCGGGTTTGGGTCGTGACAACTATGTAAGAATTAAAGTGCTATGTTTAGAAGAGCTTTAGAATTGTGATTCCAGCTCTTAGTTTGCATATGGTGTTTGGTTGTGACTTTTAAAAATTAATTCCATGCTCACTTTTGAAAAATTAATTCCACGCTTACTTTTGAAAACTCGGTCAAAGACGGAAAAATTTAGGCTAATCGATCGTCCCACCGGTCGTCCAGCCGGTTGACTGGAACAGTGTAATTTTTTTTTTTCAATTGACACATGTTAATTTTTATATATTCAACAAAAAATATTTTTTGAATTTTTTAAAATTTTTTATGAGCTTTAATAGAATTTTGAGTTATGTGTTTGGTTATGAGTTATAAGTTTTTGTATCAATTATCATATGTCACATCAAAAATTTCTTACTCAATTCAAAACTCGTTTCAAAACTCATTCATCAAACAATTTTTTCACACCCAAATGATAATTCCAAAACTCACAAACTCAAAATACAACTCTATTCTCAAATCATATTTAAAAAACTCTACCAAACGCAACCTTGAAATCTCTAGATTAAGTTATTGTTGGTCCATTATATTTCTTTCTATTTATATATATTTCCAAGTTTTTATTTTAAGATGAGCATAAAAGTCTTGGAGTCTAGTAGAGATCGTGTGATGGTTCATTTGTCTACTTTTTATTTTAAGAATAAAGAGTATCGTGGATCATGTGATCATGGATGTGTTAATCTATAACAATAATATTTATAGAATATTTAGCACAATTATTATAATAATAATGACTATAAATAATAATTTATATGGACAAAAACAAGAGTATAAATAAGTTTGAGATTTTGAAAGTCGTGTTGTCCCTGGTTAAATCTGCTTTGCCTCCTCTCGTGAAGATACAATTAGAGTAAAGCAGTTCCAAAATAAAATTCATATTACTCGCAGCATCCCTCAACAGTGTTTATGACCACATGAGGTTTCAACCATATCACAAACCACAATTGTCCAACATATCAATATAGAATACAGAGAACTCTCTCTAAAACTTCTCATTTTTTAAATTACATTTTCTTCTCCTTTACTACTTTTGTGTATTCTCAAAATCTATCTTCTCTCGTAGATACGGCAAACTATATATATTTATATAGAAGAATAGGTATACATATAATTAACTCTCAATTAAACTCATATTTAATATCATAATTATCTTGAAATAAATCCTCATAATATGATTGTAATGACAATATAAATTTTGCAACTTAAAACATAATTATAAATCTTGTAAAAATTAAATAATAAAATCATTTAATCATAAATACTATTTTATCTTCGTTGAAATATCCCAATAGGATTTACATTAGCTTTCTTTTCCAAGTTTATATTTTATAAGTACCGAGTGTGAGGATCATGGCTTTCTTTTCCAAGTTTACATTTTAAAAGTACCGAGTGTGAGGATCATGGTGATGTGATGGGCAAGATTATGTGCTGGTGTGTTCCACGAGGGTTGAATTTCTCATATACAAGTTTTAATATTATAGCATTTGAGGAATTTATAAGACTGGCTATTAAATTTATTTTGACATTTTGAATTGTTATTATATAGAACCTTTAGTGTATCTCATCTATAAAAAAAAATTAATTTCATTTTGATAATCGTAATATTTTTATTTTACTGCACTTGACTTCGAAAAAAATGAACAACAAATAAAATTTTAAAAATAGACCATTTGTGTTTTTAGAGACAAATAAGACAATAAAAAAAAAAGTTATAATTATCGAATCGATCTAATTTTTTC